GATGTCAATTATCCTTAGGTTGATCCATAAATTAAACACAGTCCCAATCAAAATCCCAACAGAATTTTTTTTAAATATCAACAAGATGATTCTAAATATTAAATGGAAAGGCAAAGGAACTAAAAATAGCCACAATTTTGAAAAAGAGTAAAGTTGGAGGACTCACATTACCTGATGTCAAGACTTATTCTAAAGCTATATTAATCAAGACAATGTGTTAATGGCAAAATGACAGACAAGTAGATCAATGGAACAATCCATAAGTAAATCCACACAACTGTACTCATATGGTTTTTGACAGAGACAAGGGCAATTCAATGAGAAAGGATAGTCTTTTCAACAAATGGTCATGGAACAACTGGACAAATAAATGAAATTCAACCCATACCTCTCAATACAAAAATTAAGTAAAAATGGAACACAGATTTAAATGTAAAATAAAAATATAAATTTGCAGAAGAAAACAAATTAGAAAATCTCTGTGATCTGGGTTTAGGCAAAGGGAGTTCTTAGTTACAATACCAAAAGTAAGATCCATAAAACAAAAAAATCAGTAATTTGGACCTCATCAAAACTTGTAACTTCTGTACTTCAGAAGACACTGAGGATGAAAAGACAAGCCAGACTGGGAGAAAACCTTTGCAAATCACATATCTCGTAAAAGAAAAAGAACTCTCAAAACTCAACAATAAGAAAACAATCCAATTTAAAAATGAGTAAAAGATTTGGACATTTTGCCAAAGAAGAAGATATACAGATGGCAAATAAGCGTATGAAAAGATGCTCAACATCATTAGCCATCATGGAAATGCAAATAAAAACCACAATGAAATACTACTATATACCTATTAGAATGGCTAAAACTAAAAAGATTGATTAGAAGATAAGGGGATTTCCAGCTTAAAAAAAAAAAAAAAGATTAGCCATACCAAGTGCTGATGAGGACATAAAGCAACTAGAACTCTCATACATTCTTGGTGGGAATGCAAAGTGGTTCAGCCACTTAGAAAATAGTTTGACAGTGTGTCAGCTTCTTCTGGTGTGTTAGTTTCCTCTGCTCAAGTAACAGATTACCACAAATTTGGTGGCTTAAAACACAAATTTATTATTTTACAATTCTATAGATTAGAAGTCTGACACAGGTGCCCTTGGGCTAAACTCAAGGTGTTAGCAGGGCTGCTTTTCTCTCTCTAAAGAGTAATCTGACTTCCTAGCTTTTTCCAGATTCTAGAGACCACCCACATTCCTTGGCTTGTAGTCTCTCCCCCTCCATTTGCATCTCTCTGACTCTGCTTCCTGTGTTACATCTTTTTTTCTGATACGACTCTTCTGCCTTCCTCTTTTACTTTTTAAAGATTGTTTCGATACTGGGACCAACTGAATAATCCAAGATAATCTCCCTATTTCAAAGTCAGCTGATTAGGAACAACTTTGCCATGTAACCAAACATATTCACAAATTCCAGAGATTAGGACATTTTTGAGGGCCATTATTCTGCCTACCACAGACAGGTTTTTTTAAAAATAAAGTTAGGCATACACCTATTTGCAAAGATTTATAGCAGCTTTATTTGTAGTCATAAAAACCTGAAAGCAATTCCAATGTCCTTCAGCTGGTGAGTGGATAAACAAATGGTTATACATCCATACAAAGGACTACTATATTCAGCAATGAAACAGAAGGAACTGCTGATACTCAATAACATAGATGAATCTCAAATATATCATGCTAAATGAAAGAAACCAGCTCAAAAGGCTATCGTATTTTTCTATTTAAACAATATTCAAAGAAAAGACAAATTATAGACAACAGATCATTGGCTGCCAGAGGTTAAGGGTGGGGGAAGGGTTGGCTACAAAAGGCAGCACAAGGGAATTTTTGGTGATGAAACTGTTCTGTATCTTGATTTGTCAAAACAATTGTACAATGAAAAGAGTTAATTTCATTTCATGTAAATTAAAGTTAAAATCTTTTTTATAGAAAGGAAACAAATATATCATTTCTCATCCATCGGACCGGCAAAAATTTTAAAATGTGACAATGTCATCTGTGGACAAGGATAAGAAACCATTGCCACTCATATACTGTTGGCAGGAATGTAATTTGTTACAACTTTAGAGGATAATTTGGCTGTAGCCAGTAAAGTTGAAAATACACATCAGTCTATTATCAGCAATTCCACTTACAGGTAGGTATATATTCTAGGGAAACCTTCACACATGTGCTCAAGGAGACATGCACAAGGATAATCATTAAACATTGTTTGAAACATTGAAAAACTGAAAACAACCCTTCAGTAAGGGAATGAATTGTAGTTAGTGGTTATTAAAAAAGAAAAGAAAAAATGCATAAGAGAAAGAATCAACCCTGTCAATTACTTGTGAGATTTAGGGAAGGTAATTTATTGGTTTATTTAACAATAACACATAGTGAGAAGAGCACTGAACTTGGAATATGGAGACAAGCATTTATGTAGCTCCAACTCAGTTAGCAGTCAGACTATGGGCTACTTAACTTCTACAAGCCTCACTTTCTTTTTCTTGGAAAATGATGAGGTAAGACCATATAACCACTAAGATTACTTCCAATTTACTGATTCTGTGATCCAATAAGTATATAATTCAAAATTGTATTCTAAAGCACATGTCAAGATACTATTTTTTTGCCAACACCCTGAAATCAGAAAATACCAGAGAAACAGGACATCTCAGTATACTGATATATAAAATAGACCAAATTTCTTAGTATTTCTGTGATAAGATTTTTAATCAAGATCATAATTCGGGAAGATCATATAAATAGCTAAACCCACTGTACTGACTTGTGTCACCCTCTGGTAGCACTTACATGTCCTCTTTCATTTTAACATTCCAAAACAAGTTAATATTGTTAATGAGTCCACCTTTACTTGGCAAGTTACTAGCCAAAAATCATTCAAATACACAGTAAAATTTACTTGACTTTTTAAAACAAAGATAAAATAATGAATCGCTTTTCATGGTTTTCCCTGTTTCATCCATAAAGCTTTTACAATATAATTTAAAAGTTTCAGTCTGCTACCATAGTTTAGAAAGCCTTTTAAAACTTGTAACACGCCAGTGGAAATGGTTCACCAGCACTTTGAGAGGCCAAAGTGGAAGGATTACTTGAGGCCAGGAGTTTGAGACCAGCCTGGACAACATAGCAAGACCCTGTCTCTACAAAAAATTAAAAACTTAGCAGGGCATGGTGACATGTGCCTACAGTCCCAGCTACACAGGAAGCTGAACCAGTAGGTTTGCCTGAGCCCAGGAGTTTGAGGTTGCAGTGAACTATGTTCATGTCACTGTAATCTAGCCCAGGGGACAGAGACCCTGTCTCTTGGTGGGGGGCAGGACTTGTAATAGGCTACATCCACAGAGATCTAGTTTAAAATCAGTAGTTCATAATTCAGTAAAGCTTATTTAATAATTTTCACGTGGTGAAAAATACTTATACTTACATTAATACTTATACTTCAAAGACACCAATAACCAACACATCATTTGCTCCTATTGCAGAATTTAATAGGTTATTAACTTCTGATATAACCCAAAGGCATAATTGGGATACTACCATTAAAACATTATATTGCTTTTTTAAAAAAATCAGAAATAGTAACACCCTTCACCATGTCAGTCAAATCAAAATTTCAAAATTCTTGTACTACAGACATTCCAAATCTAAATTCTTAAAATTCTAAATGACTACGGAGTCAAAACACACACTACATACTACTTCTAAAAACTTTCTAGCTATCAGATTTTAATTTCAGCATAAGCTGCCAAGAAAAACCTTTAGACTGAAACCTAAATTGTGTTCACATTAATGTATGTCAATCAACTAAACAGAAGGTGAGTTATTATCATTAGAAAGTTACATAATTTGCTAGAAAGATCGTTTAAAGCACCTTTCATAAACGTAGGTTACAACAAATTTACAGGCTTCAAAGTTCAAACTGCAATCACATAGTAAATTATCAGAAACCATTAACAAAATTATGTTTTTCTTTAAAAGTGGTGACAAGGAAACAGGAACTGTTTATTTGTTTAAAGGACGCAATAAGCAGCAGAATACCAGGAGCTGAGTCAGGCAGACAGGAACGCCGACTACATTCCGTCTTCTAAAGGAAAGTGTTCTCCAGCCGATTTCCCCGACTCGGCCAGGGGGGAGTCCCGGGAGTTGCGACCTCCAGCGGGGGCGCAGAAGGCAGACGACTCCCTGCCGCGCCCCCTACAACTAGGGCCGAGCCGGCCGTAGCCCGCGCCAAGGTGCGTCCCCGACCAAGCAGAAGGAGCGGGCACAGCGCGGGCAGCGTTCCTCCGAGGGACAAAGGTTGGGCTCACACCCTCCGCGGCTGCGACTCCCATTGCCTGGGGCAGCGCGCGGGGCAGCCGGGGGTACCCCCTCGCCCCGGGCCCGAGCGCGAGGCGTATGGGGGAGGGGGCAAGCCTGGCCGCCCCTCCCCCGCCGCGCTCCCGGGGACCTGTTGATTAAGATCTCCACAACCCAGCCGCCGCCAGTCCTCCTCTTACCTCCGCGCCTCTGTGCCGCCGATCCTCCCGCTCCGGCCGCTCTTAAACACTGCAGAAGCGACAACCCTCCAGCCGCCCTTAAAATACCGGATAAAGAATCCAGAAACTCCCGACTCCCCACCTCAGAATCCGTAGTCCCCGCCCCCGCCCCACCGCCAGCCTACTCCGTCGCCGCCGTCGCCGCCGCCGCCGCCGCCGCCGCCGCCAGCAACTCCACCTCTAGACCGCGCGAGACCGGCCCCTGCGGCCGCCGCGAGACCGCGCACGCGCCCCCGGGACTCTGGCGCAGCGGGCGCGCCTATCCTAGTGGTCCCCGGCACGCCCCGCCCACTGCTCGGCAGAGAGGCTGGCGCGGTTCGCCCAATCCTGAGCCGGCGCGAAGAGAGTGCCCGCTCATTGGTCCTCTCTGCAGCTCCCGACCGGCCGGTTGCGCGCGCTCGCGCGCCTCTAAGTATAAAACACGAACTGCTTCGGGCTTTTAGGTACTGGAGAGCCGTTCTGGCGTTTAGGGACGCGAGGTTTCTCTGAGGCGTAACGCTCTAGAGCCCTTGGCTTCTCTTTCCCTGGATGACAGCTCCTGAAGAAAATCCGATTCATTTGATGGTGAGTACATGTGGTGCAACTAAAGAAAAAAAAGAAAGAAAATCCAATTCATCTTGAAGCGACTCTTCATGTCCTATCAAATTCGTCACACAAGCTAACATTTGTTTGAAAAATAACCATGACATAATTAAACACCTGAATGTGTAAATGTCCCGCAGAAGACTCCAAAAAGCTAGCAGCTGCACTGAGTTCTGAAAGCCAGAAAGGAAAGGCCACAGCTATTTCACAAAACTCTCTCGAATGGACTTTGAGTTCCATAGGCCAACCCGTATCCAGGGCAAGGCTGGTCTCTCAGAACATGCGTATGCCACCCTCTGAATAGGGCAGGACTCAGGGAGGTGCTGTGACAGGATTCCTGGCGGACGGAATTCAGAGCACATTGAAGTACGTTCTAAGTAGAAATACCAGCAAATTTGCCTCAACACGTCATAAAGCCCTCATATGGTCTCTGTTTTGAGAGTAAGCAAGAACTCTACCTTCCAAGGTACCCCATCTCACCTTTCAACAGTTCTAAGCTTTGTCAATCAACCTCTCCTATAGGGCCAAAATCTGCCTTTTTTTTTTTTTTTTTTTTTTGAGACAGAGTCTTACTCTGTTGCCCTGGCTAGAGTGAGTGCCGTGGCGTCAGCCTAGCTCACAGCAACCTCAAACTCCTGGGCTCAAGTGTTGCTTCTGCCTCAGCCTCCCGAGTAGCTGGGACTACAGGCATGCGCCACCATGCCCGGCTAATTTTTTCTATATATTTTTAGTTTTCCAATTAATTTCTTTCTATTTTTAGTAGAGATGGGGTCTCGCTCTTGCTCAGGCTGGTCTTGAACTCCTGAGCTCAAACAATCCGCCTGCCTCCTCCTCCCAGAGTGCTGGGATTACAGGCGTGAGCCACCGCGCCCGGCCCAAAATCTGCCTATTATATCAGCCTATTTATTGATTCTATTATAGTAGCCCCCACGGGCACACTGTACATAGACAATCCTCCCTCAGAGCCTTCTGATATATCACTTCTCATGCTTTTCCTCATTTTGTCATACTGTGTTTTTCCATTTTCGATTTTAATGTACCCAGGTCCTTATTTTCAAGTTCTTTCACATTCTTTCCCCTTACTTTCCTCTGGACACCATATGGATGGTTAGTGTTCCTAATGAACTGTGACGACCTGAACTAAGCACACCGTTGTTGCAGGTGGTCAAGATCTTTTTGGATCCCTATTCTTCCCAGATTTTTAAAATCATTCTCAAACATGATTAGCATTCTATCCCAGTGTTTAATAAGACAAAGCCAAAGACAGAACTCCACTGCATGCTGCTAGAAACTTTATTCCTCCTGCCATCAAAAATTTCTCAGTAGACTTTGAATACAGATGGACAATCAGCTGCAAATCCACACAACTGAACTATCTTCTTGGCCCATACTTCTCCACAATGAAGCCATGAGAATTTGTGAAATGCTTGAGTGAAATACAGATAAAGTCTCTAGGATTCCTGGAAACTCTTAGTCATACCCAAAAGGAAATAAGGTTAGTGTGATTTATTTTCTTTTCTAGGTTCTTAAAAGCTTAAAGTAAATAATAATTCAGGAAGCTTCCTCTAGCTCCTCGATGAATTTTCTCCCTCTAGCTCACAGTTTCTCAGCTTTGACACTACTGACATTTGGGCTGGTAGTTCTTGTTATGGGGACTGTCCTGTGCATTGTAAGATGTTTAGCAGCATTCCTGGCCTCTACCCACTAGATGCCAGTAGCACCCCACTATCCCCAGTTGTGACAATGAAAAACGTCTCCAGATGTTACCAAAGGTCCCCTGGTGGGCAAAATCACCTCCAGTTAAGCACCACTGATCTAGCTGTTCAAAGAAAGGACATCCTGAGAAAGATAGTATCTCTTCATCCATACCTTCCAATAGCCTGGCACCAGGGAGTTTTGCAAAAAGCACCTCCACTTAAATGAATCCTTCAGGTACCTAGCCTTGCTTCCCCAGCTGCTTAGATTCCCCTGTTACAGGACCTCACCCTAATAAAATGATGATCACTATCAGTGTGAGATAGCAGAACAGCTACTGATCTCAAAATATGTGAAAATTCCTTTATT